ATGAGCCATGGAGATGATTTTGGCAAGGGAAGGCTGTTCGGCAGTGGGACACAAACCGGACACAAGCCGGACAGACCTGCACACATAAAAAAAAAAAAGAGAAAAGAAGAAAGGCAGTCAACCAACAGTCACAAGAGGATGTTCGGCAGTGGGAGCCATCGGACATGAGCAAGACAGATTTTTGTGAATAAAGAGTGAAAGAAAAATAGCCAACAACTATCTGTGAAGCAAGAAGAGTCTCCGGGGGGACCACCGAGCAGATCTGGACAAACAAGCAAAGGAAGAGTGCAGCCGGTAGTAGATCTGGAAGTTAAAAGAAGTGGGTTGCTGTTTTGGACATACCTGCACACATAAAAAAAAAAAATTGAAGGAAAGGGGCCGGTTGTGACTGGGAGAAGCTTAGATGTTACAAGATGGGTAGAAATTTGGAAGCTAGTTGGTGATTTGGATGAGCAAAGGAAGAGTGCAGCCGGCGGTAAAGCAAAGTAAATTGGAAGGGGAAAGTCGGTGAAGATGGCCCGTGGTGGTTGAAGAGGGTAAAATAAAATCAGTTTTAATTTTCAAAGAGTCCCTACCTTTGGGATTTGTTTTGAAAATTAAAAGATTTTATGTAAAAGAAAAATGGAGGAATTCGTGTGATGGGGCCACTGATGCTAGAAATAAAAAAAGAAAGGAGGAAGAGTGCAACCGACAATGACCCAGAAGGAAAATAACAGAAAAGTAAGTTTGACTTTTCCGTACTTTATGGGTTTTGAAAAATTAATTGAATTTGGAAAAGGAGTGGATGAAGTTTCTCTAGAAAATTGCTTCAGGAGATATTTGTGAAGTTGCTTTTAAAGGGGATTTGACATGTGGCATAAGTAATTATGGTGTGGGAGGTAATTTATTTAATTAAAACACTTGGATTTATTTTAATAAAATCAAATGTTGGGGTATTGTTTACATCATAAATTGTAAAATTTTAAATTAATGTCACGTGTAAAATTTATATTGGTCGGAGGAGTTTAAGTCATGTCAGATTCGGATTCTGGGCCCCATGACAGATCAACACATGTATTGGCAAGATAGAGAGGTAAAGATAATGTTTTATGGAGTAATTATCTTCTTGAAACAGAAGAGATAATAGCAGCTGGAAAATAGGAGAGGATCACAGTTAAAAAGGGGATTTTATCTGATAAAGTACAGGTGGTAAAATCTGAAAGGGGATTAGACTAGGTTAAAAGGTGAGGTGTCCCACTACTTCAACAAACTACCCATGATTGAGTAACTGCCGGCACAAGAAGAACAAAAAGGTGGTTTTGAAAGAAGGAACAGACACGGCCAGCCCTACTCAAACATCAGCAAATTTTCATACTTGAATTTTCTTTGCACATGCTTCCAGATTTCGGTTTTCAGCACATATTTCGTATTTCAGCACAGATTCCATTAGAATTAGATTGTTTTTCATCATTCCAGTAGACAAATTAATTCCTATATTCAGTTAAACAATTTCCTTTCATGCAATGAACTTCAATCCTTCAAGTTTATGCAAGGTATTGTTTTCTTTTCATTTGTAATTAATTTAATGTTTATGATAAGTAGCATTTTATTCAATGATTACTTATGTGGTGTTCATACCTCTTTTCAATCTCAAGCATGGTAGTTTAATTACTGTTCACGTTAATTTTAATGTTAATTAGGAGGAAATCTTTAATTCTGCAGCGTGTTAATTTCCAAATCTGCCAGTACATTACATTTTAATTCAACAACGAGCTTGTTTAGTTTAATTTAGGTACAATTTTTTCTCACAAATTTACTTTAAATTGCAGGTTATTTAGTTCAATTAGGATTTGTTAATTTTTAAGTCACAGTAGTGTTTAAGTTCTTGGAGTTGTCCAAGACAGATTTCATAACCCATTTTACAGGAAGGTATCCCTCCCTCTTGTAAATCGTCTGAAGGCGCAATTTCAATTTTAATCCAACGTTCTTCCCGCCATCTGCAAAGAGGTCGACCGTGAAGAAGGAGAGGGTCGTTGGAAAGGTCTTCCTTTCTTACTTTTAGCAAAATAAGTGGCACGCCCGCATTCAGATTTTACACGTGCGAGGCCACTAAAGGATTTTTGAGGAAACACATTTCCTCTTGAAAGTTTAGGGTTTCTGATTGTATCTCCAATTAAATGCAGTTTTTTTTATTGGGGCCATTCAGTCCAGGTTCGGTGTTAATTGAGACGAAGGCTCTGGTGATTTTTACTCGACTCGGTGACGGCGTGGACATTTTCCAGCAACCTCTGCAACTCCAATCTCCCTCTCTCTTTCGGTAGTCATTTTGAGGACTTAGAATTGCATCACTTAGGTCTCTTATCAATTTCGCAATAACTCAAATTTATTTTCAATTACCTTTAGTTTTTTCTTTCTATTTTTTCTGTTGAATCCGAATTGAAGTGTTTAGGAGATTGAGTGGTAATCTATAATTTTTCTTAGCTTGCATTATTTTGCTATCATTGGCTAAGTGTCATGCTTTAATTTGATTTCCAATTTCTTTTCCTTTTCCCTCTTTTTCTTTTTCTGAATTCCATTGTTAGCAATGGGGTTTCATAATATGTTTAACTCGATAAAATTTTCATTTTTATTGAAAGTGAATTTATGCATTTTGGGTGAGTTGTTTTTAATGCATACAGGGTGTTTGATGTTTTGTCTATGAGAAATTTAGTGGTCTTC